AACGGGAGGGCAGCTAAGGCTCCTGCGCTGTAGGGGTCAGGGGGTTCCTGCCGCTGCCGCAGTCCACCCGACATCGGCAGTGTGGCAAAAAGTCTGAGCGGTCATCGCGTGCGTGGCCGATCTGTGAGATGATATCAGATGTTAAAGCTGTCACACTGCATTGTAGACATGAGGTGAGGCCATAGACGTATTGAATTACGTTTTTATGTGCACAGACTGTGGTAGTTCATCCGGTCTTGTGCACGCAAGCTGAGCTCACCCGTCGCCCAGCGTCAGCCCTTTTGCTTCATGTCCGTTCGAATGAGCTCCCCCCATGTAACACGGACAGGCTTACGGCTTAGGGTTGCATTATGGGCAGGTATTGAATTCCAATCAAGGTAGGACATCGAGGAGACCTGTTCGTCAACACGCCTTCGACGAAGCTGCCGAATCACTGACGCCTCCCCCGTCGCAAGCTCAAATCCTTGAGAGTTCTGTGGTCTCGGCGACTTAGGGTTCAATGCAAACTGCGCTTGGCTCCGTGTAAGAATCTTATTGTTAGCGGAAGTTGCTCGACGACTGGTGATGGGCCAGTGTGTTTTTTTGAGTGGGCCCTGGCATTGGAGCTAGTATGGCGATGGGTCCAAACCGGTTTCATGAGGGGATGACTGTCTTTGTTTGGATCACTGATTACCTATTTCGCTCGCTCAAGCATCTCCTGCAAGCATGCTGAGGTCGGGGACTCCGGTATTAACACGGACACTGAAATCCACAGCCAATCCAAGGCCCAAGGCTGGCAAAGACTGCCATCATGCCGGGGGGAATGTCACCCGCCGGTATCCTCTTGATGGAGGACGACCCTAGCGTGACATTGCAAAGGCACCCTGTAGGCCCGGCATTTTGGATCTGTCAGTGTGGTTTTGAGAAGCTGTTGGAACCGGAACTGATGGGTAGCTTCGTGAAGAACTCATCGAGCGCTTGATTTGCAGGACACCCTCAACAAGATGATCTATAAGGACGGCTACTTGGAAGCAGTTTATCTTGCATCCAGCAGCATCTCTGACAGTTTTTTCTGGCCGTCGTCATCCGAAACTTGGTACTGGCGGAAATGGTGACTTGCATGCTGTGAAAGTCTTTCCATCGTGAAGAAGCACATGGAAAGTTGGAATTGCAATGACTGAAAATCGTACTTCAAAGGGCGTCCGAATGTCGCCGGACACCGCGTGGTTTGAGGTTCAAGAGGTCTGCGCCGAGACAGAGAGAAGGGACTGCTTCCGCGTGGCTCACACTCGTGGCTGCCCCAGCAACCTTTGCAGATGCGATGCGCCAACGTCCTGGCACAGACTACAAGTTCGTGAGAATGTGTTCAGGTGCTTTGGGGATTTCCCTCCTGATCTGCTTCCAGAAAGGACGCAGCGACTCATGATCAAGTCACACAGTGTCCGTGACACTTGCGGCCCTTGCCTACATGAAGTAGCGACGGCGACGGCGCAGGCCTCTCAGACGATGCCAAAGCGCTCCGCGGGTCTGGGACCAAGGTCCAAGGTGTCCCTCGTAAAGTCCTGATGCCAGTGCGAAAGCCGAAACGGGAGGACGGGAGGGAGGGAGGGAGGGAGTCCTTTACATTATGGTGAGCATTGCTGAAACAGAGCATCAGCATACGCATGGATCGCGGCTGCGAGGTGCGGCCAGCACCAAGCTTCGAGACCACCCAGGCCACAGAGGTCCTGAAAGTTCCAAAATTTGCCTCTGAGTGGGTGGTGAAGACCAGGGTCTTGAGGCTAGCTAGCGGCCATGTAGGACCAATGTCGGACCGTGGACATCAGGACATCCTTTCAAGCAGCACGAAACTGGCTCAAGCTTGAGGTTTTCTTACAGCGCAGCCGGGGCAGCTGGCTGACCCCAATGGTGGTCTGTTTTCCGTCGTTCACTCCTCAAGGATTCAGAGAACTACCCGGTTGCTGGGGTAGATCGGCCCCGACCCCATGTCCGCAGATGCCGATGAAGCCTTACAACATGGTCTTGACACAACGACACCACGTGCAAGTTGACTGGCCTCAAGCGGCCATAATGTAAGCTACTTACTTGTCATCCCAGCGTTGATGGGAGTCCAATCCCGAGCAGGTGCAGCAAAGACCGGACGTTACGGCCTGGGAGCTCAGGGTCGACAGTTTGTGGTGCGACTCGTGGAAATGCATCAACTCATCAAAATCGCCCAAGGGCAAGTTCCTATGAACACATTCACGTGTGAAATTGGCATCACATCTCTCAAAGCAATATTGGAAAGAGGGTGACGCGCATGTTATGCGATAGGTATCATGAACAAGCCACTAGAGCACCCCGGCTTCGTGTCTAGGCTGCTCATGTCGGCCCCAAGAAGCCCTCTCCAGAAAGAGGAGCCTATTCTTTGAATGCTGCTGCCCAAACAGGCCTCTGCCAAATAAAGTTCCCTCTGGGCCTTCTGCATGACTCTGGGCTTTGAGAGTTTTGTTTGAAGATCAGGCCCGGCCGAAGTCGGCGGGAGCTCTGGCCAAGCGGCTCAGAGGGCTACGGCTAGAGTCTGTGGCCTCGTCATTCGGGGGCCTTTGGGGTGTTTGTGACTGTTTACGAAAACTGTGGGAATTCAGGGACAGGGTCAGGAATCTACAGTCTTATGTTTCCATTTGCTTTGGATGGTTGAACGGCCGGGAGAGTTGGACCTGTGTTGGCGTAGCCCTAACCGCCCTCTACTGGAGTGCGATTTGCGTCAGAACGTACCTTAGCATTAAACCCACCCACCCGAGAAGAGACTCATCCCGAACCGATATGCCTAACCGCAGCACATGGAGGTAGTTGAGATCCTGGGATTGAGATCTCAGTTGGTGATTTTTCGTTGTTGATGTTTTTATAGAGCGGCAGTGAGCACCACGCTGGGAAATGTGGAATGGGTGCACCCAGCTCCAAACCCTTTTACCAGTCTCACAATATGACACATGGGGATTCCAACCCACGAGAGGGCTGCTCAACTACCCTCTCTGTCTGTAGCATGTAGCAGAACTGACCCCCGAAACCCCCTTGCAGATCAGGTCTTTGATAAAATCAGAGATACCCAAGCTGTCTCGGATCGTCCGTTCATGCGAGACTTTCAGCAAAGAGCTCCGAATGCTTGACCATTTTTCCTTGATCCGACCCAACCTCAGAACCGATGCAGGGGGTGACTGGATCTCGCGCAAAGCTTCAGCAGCCCGGCCTTTCAGAGCTTGCGAGTGTCGCACACAGACAGAGACAGACACGCAGGCAGACAGAGACAGAGACCGACACACAGACGGACGGACGGACGGACGGCACACATCCATACACTGGAGTGTTCTAATTTGATGTCACAGCTTGTCGTCGAAGTAACGGCGACCTCATCCTGATGTCGTCCTGGGATGGCTTCACGGCATTTTCGCTGTCAATTCTGAAACCTGCAATCTAGGTCATCTAGGTGGCCGCCAGCTGGAGTCCATCTCCCCAGCTGCACCAGGTATGTGTTAACCCCTCCTTGGCTTGGGGGCGTCTTCGTTGGCAGGAGACCCGCAGGGAGAGTTCCTGCCGCCGGCAAGCGTCATGCCAAATCTCCTATAACGCGAAATAGCGCAACTTTCGTTCTCCCTAGTGCCGATTCGGAGTGGTCACACACACAGAGCTTCTGACACACAGAAGACAGACAGACAGACAGACAGACAGACAGATAGACAGAGGCTTGAGGGCCCCAAGTTGAGGGGACGCTCAATTGTTGGCTGGATGCATGGTTTCTGCCACAACAGAAGCTCAGCTAGGTATCACTCTCTCTTTCTCTGTCTGTGTCTCTGTGCGTCTGTGCCTGTGTTTGTGGTTCTGTGTTTGTGTCTGCGTTTGTCTGCTTGTGTGCTTGTTTGCTTGTTTGCTTGTGTGTCCGTGTATGTGTGTGTGTGTGTCATCGTGTGTTGCGCCTTTCCGTCTTGGTCTCTCCCATTGCGTCGTTGAGCCAATCTTTGAGTGGCTATGTAACCCAGTTTGTGCGTTGGGGTGTGTGTTTTCCTTTCTGTCTCTGTTACTTTATATATGCTATTCTCAACACACACACACACACGCAAGCATATGTGCAGCTAGACACGCGCACAAACAGAGAGAGAGAGAGAGAGAGACAGAGAGATATGTACATATCAGCCGAGCCCAGCAGAAAGAAAGAAAGATATGTACATATATATATATATAGATGATACACACTATAGAATTTTATGTGCCTGTCAAGTATATACATACGCGCAGTATACTTGTCTTACGTGTTATCCATCTATCAGTCTGCGAATCAGTGGTGGAAGAAGTACGGAGCTGAATCCAAACGTACGAGTTGCAGGCACAGCGAGGGCTGCAAGTGCAACTTCTGCACGAGCTCAACTGCTTAGTTACATCGTAAACATGCTTCGATTCAGTCGATGCAGTACACAGAGGCCATGAAAGTGAAATGCACCGCTGAAGAATCAGAGTGGGTTGCACTTCGCAAGGCTTCCGGCAACACGCAGCATGCGGAGGCCTTGTTCTGCCACTACTCTGCCAGTTCCTCAGTACCGGACCACCGTCGTCTATTGCACATTATGTACATACCATAACGCATATGTTGTTCGTGATGTAATATTATGTACGTATTCGTGCATGTTCTCAATGTGTATTGTACATATACATATGTTATATATATATATATATATGTATATGTAGTGTTTCATCACCACATGCTGTGTATATTGTGTAAGGGTCAAGGTTCACTGGTTGAGATGTGCCAGTTTCAAGGTGACAGCCATTAGTGCAGGATGTGAAGTGGATCATGGTGTGTCAGGCTGACAGTCAAGGTTTAGCAGATGACAATTACCATAGGGCTTGGGGTGCATTATACTGTATGTATAACAAAGGAACCCGAAGAAATAGGATTGACCATTTTGAGAGTTTGTCCCGGTGCTTGCCGCCCCGCGTTTCTTTCGGTTCAGGTGGTCGGTCGGTGCCCCTAACTCCCAGTGTTTCCGATGGCGGCGAGTCGCCTAAATGGCGGTCTGCGGATCGTGGGCCTGCTATGGGCATTTCGTGTTTCGGCGGAGTCGCAGGAAAAGCACGAGATGACGGAGGACCGTGTGCCAAAGCTGAGATGCAGCCGGAACTTAAACAGGAGCAGCCATACTTCTGTGCTAGCCGTATGGCACACACACTATGTAATATGCTTCAGCAAAATAAGTGGAGTGGCACTCTAAGCCGATGAACAATATTCACCCTAACACCATACTATTACTAAGACCGGTGCAGGATTTGAGTCTGGGTTCAAAAAAAGAGCAGCCCGATGCTTCCTCACGTCGAGCTTCACTCTTGAAGCCAGGCTGCTGAGACAGCCGGTGCGGTGTGCCTGGATGGAACTCCTCCGGTCTACTATCTCAGAAGAGGCAGATGTGTATGCAGCATGGCAGTGCGGAAGTGCATGTACAGGGAGTACTGCATGATGCAAGTGCAGCGTTGAGAATGCTACACTGGTACGACCCATACCATCTCAGCAAGATTGGCAACACAGAGCCTGAGATAGGCATGCATCTCCAGAGCACCACAACAGAGTGGTGAATGGGTCAGATACAGATACAGTACTCACTACTCCAGTTCTGCTTGAGACATGATCGCACGTTGGACGATGTAACATCACAGACAGGAAGCCTGAGCATCAGCGAGCCAAGCACGTGCGTGTCCCGCTCCTGAAGAGGTTCCGGCTCGGGTGTGAACAAGTGGAGTCTCAGTCAGCAATGAGGAGATCTTAAGAATGCCGGGATGACAAGCGACGGCATAGCCAGATTCGGACCTTCAGCTATGATCCGCTAGCTGGAAAACTCTGAACTCGTCTTGAGTGTACACAAGTCACCGTCAAATCTGCGGCAGTCAATTTCCCCACCTGTTTGTCAAGATGTGCAAACCGTTCCTCCAAGACTGCGGGGGAATGACCAGGTACTTGCACCATCAGGGAGGCGGCTGGTGCGAGTCCTTTGACGACTGCGTAGCCCGTTCGAAGACAGATGCTCGAAAGCACCACCGGGGCTCAACCCTTTCACTTTCAACCCTGTGGCCATGAACTAAAGGTTGCACAGTCTGGTCACAGCAGGGATGGTCCGTACAGTTGAGAGTGCGGGAGCTGTGTCCTTCAGGACCTGGGGTCGTCTTCCAAGTATCCCGCCACCGCTTCGATGGAAGGCACTTGAAGCGGATCGCTGAACAAAGTTAGCTTTCTTCGCATATCATTGTTTATTCCAACGTTATGGTATACTACAGTATCGGATACTATATCATCCTATATTCTTTAACTAACTGTATTTAGTGCACTGCATTATGTGTTAGTCGAACATGTCTCGTGCGGGTGTGCAAGTAAAGACAGAGAGTAAAACCGGTCTGGCAAGCTTACGGGTTGAGACGGCTCACGTTGTGGCCATGTCTTACCTTACGTAGCTTTACATGTTGTGCTGCGTGGAATGATCGAGGCCCGAGTTGTTGGCGTGCAGGAGTAAAGATAGCATGGCTTGTTGCTATGAACGCCGTTTTGCTTGGTTTGCTCACTATTTTCTGCCATACTTTTGCATGCAGCCGGTATGCAGGTCGCCCGGGTTATCCGGACCGTTCAGAGTGCTCAGGTAGCGACGAAACGACGGACTCCTTAACAGTCGGTTCCATTCCGTCGTTTGGCATAGCTCACGCAAACGAAGCTTTAGGCCACTAGTACGCCGGCAAACTGCACGGCTAGGGGAGTCCCTGGGCCAAGTCTGTTGTTTTGCAATAGGCATTTACACCAGAGCATATATTTTCTTCCGGCACCGTTTTGAGTAGCATCCCTATCTCGACATACGAAGTGCCTTAATGTAATCATGTCTCTGACCATAGCTGCTGGCACCAGTCAAAGCCAGCAGCCTCTTGATGCCATGTTTGCTTTAGCTTCCTTATGCTCTTGTTGCCATTGTTTGTAGCATCTTACATCACAACGGCACTCAAATATGACAGTGAGACGTGAGAAGCTACTTGATAACTCTCAGATGGGTACTTCTCGACGGATGCAGCGGTCAATCCGATGATGCCTGGGCCTCACAGGTCTTGAGGTTTCGGAAGGTCACGTCGTGCAACCTGCGTCTACCGATGCTCTCGAATGAGGGCCCAAAGCTCACTCAGGTACAACTGGAATCATGTTCTCCTGATGTATTGCCGCCTCCTTAGTTAGTTGGTGCTTCTTGCCAACTCCTAGCTTGACTGGAACATTCTTTTGGAGGTGACGGCGCTAGCTTCAGTGGGAACAATGCCACAGCTGCCTGCTCAATTTCGGCTTCTAGGGCTCTTCCTTCGGATCCGTAAACGAGACATCAGCAATTGGGGCGCAGACCTTGCAATCAGACCTCAATTCGGATCGGCCGCCCCGAAAAGCGCCATGACTAAGTAATCGCCCAAAGTCTCACAGAGGTTACGGTGCACAACGGCACCAAGCTGCACTTCCGGGGGCAGCGCATTCGAGAAGCCATTGAGCAGGAGCTGCTTCCATTTGGCTAGCGGCTAGCTTTTCTCGTTTGTCTGAAGTAGGTGGTACGTTGTCGAAGCTTCAGGACCTTCTCCAAAATCAGGGCCTCGCTAATGCCAGCGACCTGATCGTGTCTGGTTGCAGCGCTGGTGGTCTGGCAACATATCTTCACACCGACCAATGGTGCGAGTCGCTGCTCAGCTCTCTCTCTGGTTGCAGCACCCGTGCCAGACACGTAAGCATCAACAGCAGCTTCAGCGGATAGCAGCCATCGGGTCGCAGCAATCTCACTGCACTTCAGTACAGTAAGCTGCAGAGGGCTCGGTCACTGAATCGACGGTTGCCTGGCACGAGCACAGGCTCCATGCATCGCGGCCTTTAGCGAAATGCGTTGGAATGCCGGACAGCGGGTTCTTTCTTGACTACCAGGACGACATGGGTTCCCTTTAAGGGAACCGCTTGTCAAGACCTCAACTGCAATGTATCATCTCTACGTTAAGACTTGATGCAACATGCAAGGTTTGATTCAATAATATGAATCTTATCTATTTCAGTTCTACACTATTAGCTATCCTCCCGTGCAGTTTTGCATATTCGCGTGTTTCTGGTGTTGTACGCAGGGCGTTCTTCTACATTGCGGGCGTCCTGGTCTGTTTCGAAATTCCGTGTCTGTTTCGAAACACCCCGGTAGCCCAACCCATTAACCCATTGACCCAATCATTCTGGCCAAATGGACTCGGGAGTAGGGTCTGTTCCCACTTGGGCAAATCATTGGGCCAATGGGTTAATGAGTTATTGGGTTGGGGCTACGGCCTACTCCCAACTCCTTTTGGGCAAAATGGTTGGGTCAATGGGTTAATGGGTTGGGGCTGTAGCCTACTCCCAAGTTCATTTGGTCAAGATGGTTGGGTCAATGTATGAAAGGGTTTATGCGGCAGCCTACTCCCAAGTCAATTTATCAATATGATTGGGTTAATGGGTTGCTGGGTTATTCGGCTACGGCCCTGGCAGGCGCGTGTTTCGAAACATACATCGTGATTCAAAATGCACGACTTAGACCCTGCTGCAGATCAAAATGTACGCAAAAAACCAGATGCTGCATAGAGCGATTTGTATACATGGTCAGGCCTTCGGCGTTACGAGTGTGAGAGCAGACAGCTCAGCACAATGATGCCTAGTTCGGTTCAGGTCCAAGGTCGTCAAGAGCCAAAGAGCCCAACGCCAGTAGGATCCCTAGCCGTAGTTCATGACATGTTTCACTCTTGTGTCTTTTCGTGCATAGTCAACGTATGCTATTCTCCCCTATCCTACTGCGGTTGAAGATTTTTCAACTGTATGTAATTGCGTTATACTATGTCCCATCGATATACTTTCTACTACTCACATACGAACCCATAGTAAAATCTACTTGTGGACTATGCGACTATACTACAGACTTTGCTACAATGGACTTTACGATAGACTATACTATATACTACACTGAAGGTTATGCTATGACCCCGAGGAAACACTATAATGTATACTACACCATATACTATACTCTGTACATCTCTGTACTATACTACATACTATACTGTATACTGTGCTGCATACTACATTATACACTACACAAAACTATTACATTTTAGTATACCCTACTCTATTTACTAATTATGCCGTACTCTGCAAGTGTCATGTGTGAAGCTCTCTTACAAAGTACATACGCCCACGAAATGATACTTTATCATGCCCACGAAATGATACTTTATCATGCTGTGTGGCATATGTTATTCTGCTAGTATGCTCTTGCAGCCATTGTGTTATACTGTCTTATGCTACATCATATTCTGAGTAGGACATATGTTATCCATTGTATCAACATATAACATATGTTAGCAAAGGCGTGGCTTGATATCCTGCCACCTTTTCCTATACCGCATCTTGCAATCTTCATATTGTCCAATCGTAACTTAAGACATGCCGTATTATATCTATGATGCTAGACTCACTAGACTGTAGTGTGTCATATAGAGTCTGCGTATGGTTGTCAATTATCTTCGCATATTGCAACTGCAACACATCAGAATGTTTTCAGCGTCATTCCCTATCAAATCATGCCGTATTCGAGCATACCTTCTAGGCATGGAGTAATTGTATACCGTACTATGTGCGATGCTATATCAGTTTTAAGCATAATTCGTTACACCATGTCATTTTGCAAAAAAGTAGATGTAAAAGAATCATGTGATTTGCTGTAGTGGGTCATTCTTTGAATCGTTGTGTTCTGTCATGTTAGTTCACATTACGTCTGGTTTACTTCGGTTGCGTGAAAGTTACATACTTCATATTTTTGCATACTATGTGCCATGTATTCTGTACTGTATATGTACCGTGTTTGCCTTTAATGTGCTTTGAAACAAATGGGTTTATACCAGATTTCGCGTTAGTATTCTGCCTTATGTTACCTGATCTTGCTTAATGTGATCATGTCTCTGTCGTATTCTATGCAATATATCATATTTTGGTAGTGTATCGCACCAGCCTTTTGTGTTGATGCTGAAACGTCTAGTTTTACCTACTTTTAAGTTGCAATGGGTAGCTTTCCGCACACATTGCGATTACCTGACAGCAAACTGCAACTCCATAGTGCCTTGCCACAAACAGCAGCCCTATAAATAGCGATTCCCCAGTAGTTTGCTGAGAAAAAACACCTCCTTAGAGCCTTAGAAACAGCGATTCTCTGTTTCCATACTTCCAGGGCGCAGTGGGGAAGGTGCGAAAACGTATGGCGGGCCGGGGGGGGCGGTGGGGGATAACCACGTGCCCAATTATAAACTACATACTGTGTTATATTACTGTTATATTCTACATCCTTGATTCCTGTTATATACCATCAAGGATATACCAACAAGCCAGTGATACAGAACAGACATCACAACATATGTAATTACTGCAGTTGCTACAGAATGTTTTATATATATATATATGTAACACACACATTATAACATGATGCCTAGCAAAAGCATATAGGCAACACTCGACAACAGATGCATGTAATGTTTAACATCAAGCATATGCACCTTCTGCATAATGAACGATCCGTTAAAATTACGGTGAAATAGTTCGTTCCTAGTATGTCATAATCAACAACCTAACCTCACACCCACCACAACACAAAACAAAGCAGTATGAGAGAGGTATGCTCTGTCCTTATGTAATGCTACATGTTATAATGTTGCATTCAAAGAAATACTGTGTTATCACGATGTAGGGTAAGTAATGTAGTATCATGTCATGTAATATATCACAGTTTCAAAGCCCGAAATCCCTGAGCGAGCCGTTTTTCGAAAGGACCCTGAAGTTCGCTGCTCTCCAGACAGCTCAGCTCCTGGCCTCCTCACCGAAACCATCAACGGAGACTATCACTGCGGCCTGTGGTGGAACCTTGGCGTTGAACAGGGAAGGGTGTAGGAATTTTGGGTTTAGGGTCGCAAGGGGCTTGTCCACTGTTCGCGCATGAGTGCCGATGAGAATGCCAGGACCTTCCACATTCAGAATGCCAGCTCTGGCATCAACCAGCGCTGCCTCGCGCGTCACACGAACGAGGAGCGCAGGTGCATGCAGAAGCGAGCTGTGAGGGTGTCCAGACAGTTGGCCCGACCCGCCGATAACCTTGCAGATCGTCAGCCGAGGTTGTGGGGCAGGCAGCTGCTAAATCAGTAGAGTGCTGGGGGTTCGGCTTCGGGAGAATGGCTTTTCCAAGCACAGGTGAGCACTTCTGTCCTTTGTCCCTTGTTCCGCTTGGCGGCAGAAGTCATCTCAAAACCCGGAGATGTTGGCACATGTGCAATCCACCTTGCAGGAATGGAGGTGTATGTTTGCGGAGTACGCGGCAGAGTTCATTCACTCACCCGTCTTTGCCTTGCAGTCCATGTATGCTCTTCTCCTGCACCTAGCAGGGCTTTTGCTTGCGGTTGCCATTGACCGTAGTGACTCGTCATGATGAGGATTCCTGGCAGACAGCCCATGTGCAAGGGACTGGTGGCGCTTCCAAAACGAAAGTCCTTGGCAAGAACATCACCGAGCGAGCCTTGGACTATTAAACTATTACAAGTGCGGTTTCTTGATTAATCGTCAGTCTTTCCACTTCCTCACCTCCCTCAAAGTGAGGTCTGCTGAAGAGCTTGCTGGCCAAGAACCCTCGCTCCGGTGCTTTCCTGGACAGCTGCTGGCACCATTGTGGATCCTGGAATTCCATCCGCATCGATGGCGACTTGGTGTCCACGGCTCTCCAGATACTCGGCAGCAGAATATTCGAAGAAACTCTCCTAAGTGCGATAAAGCTCTGCTGAAGCCCGACCAGCGATTTGCCAGCAACTTCCGAGGAAATGGTACCATGGCCTCGGGAGGGCTGGGAGCAAGCGATTGTGGAACCAGAACAGAACCTTCCCATGCGAGGAGTGTTCCGGGGGCTGCAATAGCACAACGCACTATCAGAATACACTGGCTCAGGGTCGATTGGCGCAGAATCATCAACACACACAGAGTTTGCGGTTTTGGTTTGGTGGGTGGGTCCCGAAAGATGTCCCGTCCTGGAAACGGTCACAGACCGGAGGGTTTCCAAGCCCCACTGGTCAGCGCGCTAGCGAGGGTTCAGCCCTCTGCTTGTCGGCAGCCGAACCCTGCAATATTGGCTGACTCCATCATCTACTGTAGAATCCCTAGGAGGATTTTTTGGTATACGTTGGATTTCCGTTGTGGTCTTAATTACTGAGTATCCTATATACTTTTAAACATCCTAGTCAGCGAGCTATTCATAGTTGGGAGTCAAACACTTCTGGGAGCTATCAAACTTCAATCTACAATCCAGCATGTACTGGTGGACCGGCCTGCGAGCCGCGTATCGCTGCGATTCGGGAAGAGAGGAGCAGTTTGCCAAGCATACCGCAGTGACCACTGTGTTTTCTGGGTTTGCGATGAGGCTGCTAGCCAGATGAAGCTACACCCTTTGTCGTGTGAGGCCAGCAGGGGCGTCTCTTCGCTAAGCATTTTTGTGATTCTGAGCATGATTCGATTTCACTGTTGATGTTCCCGTTGTGAGACTTCCCGATGTGTGTGAGAAATCCTGATGCTTGCCATTACTTTCTAGAATGCTCCATTACCAGGGTGCTTTTGCTGACTTGGGCAGATGCAAGTGCCCCTGAAGGATGACAAAGCTCCATGGCCTCGTCGACTCCGTCCAGTTCTTCCTACCAACGAGTAGGGTGCACATTTAACCTCTATGGTGCGGCGTCGATAGGACAACGCACGGAGGAGGGTGCAAAGCAGAAGGCAGCAGTAAAAGGGACAGCCTCATTTGTTCAAAGCTGCATGGAGACGCCAGAACCGATCCCTGCCACTCTCCCGCTCTGGCTCTCTCTCTCTCTCTCTCTCTGTCTCTCTCTATCTCTCTATCTCTCTATCTCTCTCTCTCTCTCTGTGAAAACTGTATCTCTCTCTCTCTATATATATATATATGTGTGTGTGTGTCTAGCTGTGTTCTATATATACACGTGATCATATGTGTATGTATATGCCTATACGCGTGTGTGTACATCTATCTATACTTATATTTATATGTTTATATACAACTATACATACAGTATATATATATATATACA